AGCGCATTTGTACATTCATTGCCCTCATCATTCTCAAAACATTTCCTCTCCACTTAAGCCCCCGGCATTAGGTCCTCGTTTTTCCCCTCCCTCCCTAATCCTGGACAATTTTAACCTTTCTCCATTTATTATGATGTTGTCTATTAGTCCAGTTGTGAGGATTTTATTTTTCTTTCTGAACTATAATCTGCACTGAAGGCTGCAGCTCTTCTCTTCAGCAGCAAGGGCTTCCCCATTTCAGCAAGCAAGGGTGCATCATCTGCATATCTCAGGCCGTTAATAAGCCTTCTTCCAAACCTGAGGTTGCATTCTTCTTCACAGAATCCAGCTTCTCAGATTATTCGCTCAGCACACAGATTGACCAAGTATGGTGAGAGGATACAACCCTGACACACACTTCTCCTGACATTAAGTAACAGTATTGCCTTGTTCGGTGTCAGACTCTTGATTCATGTACAAGTTCCTCATGAGCAGTGAAGTCTTCCAGAATTCTATTCTTCTCAAGGTTATCCATAGTTTATGAGCCAGTCGAATGCCTTAGTAGAGTCAATGAAATACAAGTTAGTAAACATCTTTCTGGCATTCACGGCTTTCAGCCAAGATCCATCTGACATCAGTAATGACGTCCCTTGTTCCACATCCTCTTCTGAATCCTCGGGCAGCTCCCCATCAGTGTGCTGCTGCAAACATTGTTGGATGAGCTTCAGCAAAATTTTACTTGCATATAATGTAATATTAATGGCACTGTTCTATAGTTAGAGCATTTTATTGGGTCACCTCTCTTTGGAATGGATATAAATATGGATTTCTTCCAGTTGGTTGGCCTGGTAGCTGTCTTCCAAATGGCATAGTCTTTACTAGCTTGTTGAAACATCCGGTTGGTACTCCATTCCATTGTTTTACCTCATGCATTCAGTGCAGGTGTAACTTCTTCAATACTATAGGCTCTTGCTCTTGCAAGCATTGGCTGCAGACCAGTTCTTTTTGCTACACTGACTCTGTGTGTGCCGTCTTCTGGTGTTGTTTGCTACATCATTCAATATTTTACTCACAGAATCTTTAAACATTGCAACTCAAGGCCTTCCTCAATATCTTCCTCAGTTCTTTGGCTTTCCAACTCCTCATCTTTGCACGGTGTATCAATGCTTTGTTTTCTCAAGCTGTTCCTTGAAATTTTTTCCTGTTCAGTTCTTCTACTTCATTTCTTCAACTTCCTTTAGCTACTTTATGTTCAAGGGCAAGTTTCAGAGTCTCTTCCAACATCCACATTGGTCTTTTCTTTCTTGTCTATTTCATCCCACAGCTTGTCAGGGTATCACTAGTGTCAATTTTTCAAACCTGTTCTTGAAATGTTCTCAAAATTCTGGTCATATTCTGTGTCTTATTGACTCATTTTAATTTTCTTCAACTTCTACCTTCAGAGAGGAAGGAGCTCCCAGCAGAGAATGGTGAGGGCACCCTGGAGACACCCTCTTGGAGGGTCTCGGTGAGGAATATCCAGTTGTGTGTCCAAAATGGACACACACACAACCCCAAGCTGTCATAGGAAGCCCTCTCCCTACAACCTCTGAAGCTCCCAGACGCAAACAGGAAGCCTCTCTTGTGCCCCACTCCTAGAGTTGCCTCAGCTAGACAGGAGGCTATACAAGCAGAGTGGAAAGGGGGATGGGGAGCAGGGAGCAAGGAGTGCTAGCAGTGGTGGGGCAGCCCCAAGTCTGCAGAGACCCGCGCTGGTCCTGATTCCCTCTGAACTGGGGACCCAAGAGCTCTGAACTCATGTCTAGCTGTCCATGCTATCAAAAAACAGCCCTCTGTCAGCTGGCAGCAGTCAATGGCCCTACAGGGAACAGCCCTTCCGAACCATGCAGTGTGAGATGACGCTGCCAGAGGGCAGACACAGGGTGCAGGTTGACCTCTTGTTCCCCAGTTCCAGCCCAGCACCTCAGGACAAAAGCTGGGACAGGGGGGCTCCATGCTGGGGTCCAAGCCAGGAGAGGTTGGCATTACCATCCACTGCCAGAAGATCGGCTCCAGGCGCCGCCACTCGAGAGCAGCCTCCAGGCGTCCGTTCTCACGCTCCAGCCTCCACAGCAGCTGCAGACACCCAGCAGTCAGGGGGAGGCCCAGATCCACTCCACCCCCACCCACCCCCATCTCCACTGTAGGCCTTAGCACCCGATTTGAGGAAGATGTACACACACCAGCTACCCACACCCATCTGAGTCCAGGGACTGAGACATGGTCTGGCACTGGACAGGTTCCCCCACAGGCCCCCAGCGCAAGACCAAGTAGAGTGAGGCCAGACTGGGGAGCCTGAGATGCCCCAGGATCAGGGAGGAGGCTGAGGGACCCAGGTGAGAGGTACAGAGGACAGCCACTGGACAGGGAGGCAGGGCTGCCAGGATGGAGGAGGCTGTGGCACAGTGGGCACCCAGGGCCAGGGCCATGCACCAAGTTGAACCCACAGCACCACCTCCCCGTGCACTGAGGTCCCACTCCTGCATGCCCTCACAAACCCCAGAGCCGCTCTCCTCTCCCCCCTGCACACACACATACACGATCACTTCAGCCCTACATGTCTAGACCTCTCTCCATCTCTGTCTCTCCCAAAAGGTAACCCTGGCTGATGGTCCAGGGCCCAGGGCCCCACAGCAAAGAAATACCAGTCCTTTCTCTAGGCTGGTTTGACCAGAGACACAGCCCAGTCGGTTTGACCAGAGACACAAGCAGGGGACCAGAGTATATCACCAGCAAGCCACATAACAAGACAGCTGGCCACACACAGGACCACCACCACCACCTCAGCCTGCCACTAGCCACACACAGGACACCCTTTCCCCACCACCCCTCGGTAGCCGCACACCAAGACATTGCCAACCCCAGGGAGATGGTGCTGACGGTGGAATGATGGAAAGCAGCAGAGCAGGGCAGTAGTGTCAAGAGAGCACACTCTCTGTGGACAGGGAGGAGGCCAGGCAGAGCCTGGGGTTGAGCCGTCCTCAACACTCCCAGGCCCAGCAGCCCTGACCCAGAAAGAACAGACACTAAGCTGAGGGAGAGACAATCACCCCACTGGATGCCAAGTGAAGCCGGGTCCTCGGGGCCAGTACCTTTGCCCAGCTGGGTGAGCCATGTCTCCCAGCCACATAGGACCAGGCCAAAGAGAATGGCTGCCTCCAGGCCCTGCATCTCCAAGACTGAGGGCCACCAGCTGCTAGAACTTAGAGACTGGCAGTGACCATGGGTTGTGTTCCTCAGATCTCAGCAGGGAAGACATCTCTCCCTTGGCCCCAAACCAGCCACACACAAGGAAGCCACATGTCAGTGATGACAGTGACCTTGGCAAACACAAAGAGATACACATAGCCCTGCCCTCTTCCTCCTCGCCACTCCAGCACACAGCCCAGCCTCACCTGCTGACCTGCCTCTGGGTCTCTGAGCAGCTCTGTCTCAGCAGCAGACAGATGGCCCAGGCTCTGGTTGCTGTGGCAGCCCTGGGTGTACTGGTGAATCTGAAAGACAGGTGCATAGGCTAGACAGAGGTCAAGCACCTATTCTCAGGGCCCAGCAGGAAGGCCCATGCGCAGAGGAGCATCTAAACTCTGTAAGCGGAAGTCTCAGCTAAGTCTCCCCACTGTACCCAAGTTCTCAGCCTCGGTCCACGATGCATGGAATGGGGCACTCCGACACACCCTCCCTCTCCTGCTGGTGTAGGGCCAGGTGGCACACTTAGGGTTGGGGAGCCTCCTGATAGGTGCCGCCAGCCAGTAAGGCCTGTGGAGGGCACCTCAGCTGGGGGTGAACAGGTTGGGGGTAGTCCATGAGGCAGAGCCAGATAGAGCCAGGGCACTAGTGACCTTAGAAAAGGCCAGCAGAGCCATGGCTGAGAGCAGTTACCACCCCCCACCCCCCACAAGAGGAGTGTCTCGGGAGCAGGACTCCCCCAGAACCAGGGCCCTTCTAGAAGGAAAGAGGCCCAGAAGTTGCTCAGGCCAGAGCCCTTGGCAACCTGCCCAGCTCCAACCTCCCAGGAGACACCCTACTTGGGGTCTTACAGGAGAGCTGCCTACAAGCTACTGGCTGCCCCAATGCCCACACCAGACCACCCCAGAGACCTCCAGCGGACTGCCTCCAGGCCCTGCTGTGAGAAATAAGTTCCCAACAGTCCCATCGTCAGCCATTAAGGGATCAAAAGGCCACAAAGTTTCTAAGTAGCCGGAGCACAGCTGATCACTGATGGGGTCATCACAAGAGCACAGGCACCTGGGGACAGTCTGTGACCGCAATGAATCAAGGGAGGGAGGCTGAGCATCTGCCCCAAGTTGGAACTTTACATTAAGTAGGCGGCTGACCCACAGGATCTAACCCCATAGTACTCAGTCAATGAGGAGCCAGGAGAAGGACTCCCAAACTAGGGAATGAATGTAGAACTCTCAGGAACCAGCGTGGGGCGTGCAGGGCCCCTTTTGGGGTCATCTGAGGCTTGGGTGCCCAATTTCGCTAAATTGGCTGATCAAACCTCTCTCTCACTGAAGTGGATACAGATGGGCTTTCTTGAGCCTTTGTCGGTACACTCATTGGTGACCTCATATGGGTAACACCGGTGTACCCCGTGCTTCCTCTGCACACCCATCAGGTACGGTCCAAGTCGGGGGTTTATACCGAGCCCCAGTTACCAAGAGGAACCAAGATGATATGGGGGTGTCGACAGCATTTCTCCCACCACGTTCCCCAGCTTGAGGGCAACAGGTCAAGGCCAGGTACCGGAGGCCTCAGATATGGCCAGAGGAAGTCCTGTGCGCTGACAACCTCACCTGTGACACAGCTAGCTCCGAAGACTCCTTCCCCGCTTCCTGCAGGGCTCGGCCGAAAGAGCAGCCAGGCTTCTGTGCTGAGGACCCCACAGACCCAGCACCAGCGCCAGGGCAGCAGGCCAAGACACCGTTCCCCTTCTACAGGCTATATCAGTCCTACCTGGCTACAGCCCAGGTCGACATCACCTGGGCAATGGTTCCAGTGGACACCAGGATTCCATCCTGCAGAGGTCACACTCACAAGGGACATAAGCCAGGCAGAGCAGTGGACAGGGTGCCTCCACGCCTGGCCAGTGCTTCCCTGGGCCAGCAAGCCCCGGCCTCCATCTGTCCCAGTCGGCCTGCATCTGCACTGCCCCGGCCAGCCCCAGGCCTGAGGGGCTACCAAGCATCGCCCCATCACATTTTTTATCATCCAGGAACAGAACCTCCAGCCCCTCTGGACTTCTCAGGGACAGGTCACCCTGAAACCTGGCTTCTGTCCCTAACTGGCTCTCCTGCCCCAATGTTGCCCAGTCCTGCCCCAGCCAGGGCACCACGCCAGGACAGCGCTCAAACCCACGAGCCCTAACCAAGACCAGGTTCCAGCTGTATGGGCAGGTGTGGGGGGCGGCGGGCAGGGTGCAGCCCAAGGAGGCAGTTAGTTCTACCTTGCTCAAGAGGGCACACTGCTCCTGGTGACCACATATGAGGTTCAGCCACCGGAAGCGAAGCTTTCCCATCAGCCACTGCACATAGCGCATGTCGAGGCCGTTGCTGGTGTCCTTGCAAGGTGCAGGCAGGTCTAGGCAGGCCGTGGCATGGGCGAGGTCTTCACACTGCAGGGGGTGGTCAGGCCTGTACCCAGAGTCCCAGGACCCAGTGGAGACAGGGCCCCTGGGCTAGGAGCTCTTGAGAGATGGGGCTGGACCCTGTTCTGAAGATCAGTTTGGGGGGCGGGGGAGAGGCAGGCCTGTGGTGACGGACCAGCCCAGGAAGGATGGGGAGGGCAGCCAGGACCAGGTACTGGGCTCTCATGGGACAGCACAAATGACCATCGGCAGAGATTCCTGAGGGCTAAGTGGTAGATGGCACAGTGAGCACTGGGCTGAAGCTCTGACCATGACCAAGGAGACATGGGTGCAAGTGACTGAACCTTTACCCACCTCACACATAGGCATCTGGTCCCCAGTGAGCACATGGGTCCGGGTCAGCAACCGCCCTAGCAGGGACCCTCCAGCCAGGAGCCAGGACAGGGCCAGCAGGAGCTCCCGGCTGCCCTGGGAGCCGTCTTCTGGGAGCTGTGTGAGTGCGGGCCGAGGGTAACCGTGGGCACGGAGTGCTGACTTCACCAGGCGGACCTGGGCCTCTGGGGGTAGCGTTGGGCAGTCAATTCAGGGCCCCGTCCCCCACCCCCACCGCAGCAGATGCCAGAGACCCTAAACCACCCCTAAGCTGAGGCTTGCCTTGGAGGTGCCGCCAGCAGGGAGTTGGTCATAACAGAGGTTTTCTGTGGGGTGCACTGGACAGGGGACAGAGACGGACTGGGTGTGTAAATTCTACACTGACTGGGAGGTTAGGGGGAGGGGAAAGTGAGGTGGGGTCTGTGGAGTGGGAGGTAAGGGGAGAGCAAACTGGCACCGGATTTGCATAGGTAGGGCAGGGCTAACCAGTGGGGCTCAAGAGCTGGTCGAGGGGCGGGGACTACGGGTAGGCGGGGGCTACCGCGCCAGGCTTTAGCAGGGCCTACGGTGAAGGGTGTAGTCTTGGGTTCGTTGGGGCGGGGCTTGCAGAGCAGGGCCGACAGACGGGGGTGTGGTCTCCGCTAGCCGGGGCGGGGTCTACCGGGGTATGGCACGGCGGTGCCGTCGTCCTCCCGCAAGAGTACGTGGAAGAGCAGTCGCCAGAGTGCAGGGGCCTGAGGGGTCAAATGGCGGGCGGTCAATGGGACCTGCCTCCCCGCGCCCACCAGGCCCACTCCCGCCCGTCCGCCCTTCCCGCGACGCTCACCGCCTCCGGGAGATCGAACTTGGCGCGACGGAACGTCTCTGGGTTGGGCCTGGTGGGCAGTGTCCGGCTCAGCGCGGCGATGGCCTCAGGCAGGGCCTCTGCCCCAGCCCCAGCCTGCCGCTCCAGCCGCCGCCGCCGTCGCCCCATGCAGCCCGCTCAGAATGCCCGCCACCGCCGCCGGCCGGACCTCAGCACCCAATCGCCGTCGCCCCGGCCGGCCCCGCCCCCACAGTCCTGCGTACAGTGTCGCGCTGTCCTGGCGTCTGCGCCCAATCCACAACGCCGACTGGTCCCAGTGTCCAATCACTGCTCACAAAAGCTGCGCCCGCCCGCCTCGGCCTCCAAGGCCCAGTCAGGGTTGGAGTGCAGTAACCCTCCTCCGGTGTGGTGGCGCTTCCGGCCCTCCTCCCCCACGCTAGGGTGGGGCTCAGGACTTCCGCTCTCCAGGCCGCTCAATCGCCTAGCCGGTGGTGTTCCGGCCAGTCCGGGGCGCTGCCTCCAGGAGCAGGACTATGGGGAGGCTTGGCCCGCGCAAGGCTGGCCGCTGACCCGCCGCCTCCCCCCACCCCCAACCTCAGGTCAGCCTGGCCAGCGCCCCTCAGGCCGCTCCCTCCATTTGCAAACTGGCCTTTTTTTCAGCGCTAACCCTAGATTTACAGGGCCACTGCATGTTAATGGCTCTTATTCGAGGGGACCCCAGGGAACCTACACCCAAATGCAAGAAGACAGACATTCAGAGGTTCCCACGTGCACCAGCCTTCAACCCTGCCCCCATGCCCTGCACACCGACTTTATAATAGCCCAAACGGACCAGTCCAGCCTAAGGACTGGTGGGCCCGGAATTAAAATGCTCTCCCCACGACACACACACACACACACACAGAATCCCTCCCTCTCCTCCACACTGCAGCCCAGAGGTCATTTTGGCTGTCCCCCTAATACCATTTCACAACCTCAGAGCTCTGGGCACCTTTGCACATTCCTCCGAATTTGGAGTCTTTGACCCCTATTAGCCCTTTCCCTCTAAGGGCCTTCAGCCAAAATGACCTTGCTCCTCCTCTAGGTGTCAGCCAGTGTCCACCACTCCCCTTGGGACTGGCAGCCAACTGCTCAAGAGTATGCATCTTGCCCCACACTAGTGTCAACTCTGGCCACCAGGTGTCACTTGAGTCCCCAAACTTTGTCCACCCCATCTTACCAAAAACAATACAAAACTCTGCCATCAAGTCCATGACAACTCATGGCAACTCTATAGGACAGGATAAACTGCCCCCATGAGTTTGCAGGAGTAGAAACCCCGTCTTTCTCTCACAGAGCAGCTGGTGGTTTTGAACTGCTGATCTTGTGAACTGCATCCGAACTTTAATTGTTTGATTCCTCCAGTGGGAAATACCTTGATTCTTGGCTTCGCACGAGAAAGAAACTCACCCTGTAGCCTGGTTTGTGATCCAAGTGAGTTTTTATAAAGGATAGAAGTTTCAGGTTTTACAGTTTCAGGTTTCATGAACACAGGACTGCACCCCCATACATGGTGACCTAAGGGGGAGTGGGTGGAGAGAGAAGATGAGGAGGAGGGGGAGCCGGAGGGGGGGTGGCTGAGAGAGAGACTGCAGGCAGAACGCAGTGGGTTGGGGGGAAGAGAGTGGTAGTCTCCAAGTTTCAGTGTTTTGCGCATGGTCGACAGTACTGGTTGACCACACTGGCTGAATTAAGCCCACTTGGCCTAGATTGGGCCAATCTAGGTGTACCACCGACCTAGGTGTACCATCCCTTCCTGGCTCAAAGCCTGAATTGGCGCATGCCATGCCCAGTGGACACTGGTCCCTGTTCTACTACCTAATATAATCACAGGGCTCCTCTTTGTCCCCCACATTCATTTATCAGAAGAATTAGGCTCCCACATCTTGGGGACACACACACTGATTGTCTAGCTCAGGCTCTCAGGACCCCCAACATATCCAGAACTAAGACAGTTCCTCCAGTTCTGGGAAGGCTGGATGAGACGAAGTCTGAGGGATGCTCAGCACCAGCTGCTGCCTGGTTTGACTTGGGAATTTGCAGAAAGCCTCATACTTTGAGGCAAGCCAAGGTTTCATATCTCCCGCCCCCTGCCAATTCCTGGGGCAAATGAGGGGCAGCATGTTTGTCTGGCTGAGGCTGAGCTCAACGGCAGTCATGGGGTGGGGACGAGGAGAGTGTCTTCACTGAAACTCCTCCAAGAAGGTCTCAGATTCAGCAAGACTTGTTGCTAACTCACACCATGAACCCACCCAGCCCCTGCTGTCAACCCTACGCCCATCCCTGCCCAGGACTGCCAGTCTGATGATGCAAGGGTATTCATGATCTGTAGGTGATAACCTGGCTTCTCGCCTACCCCGTCAATGACCAGAGACAGTGGACAATGCCTACTGTGGCAGGAAGGGTGGCCACTGGCAAGATCCAGGTCAGACCCCACCTGAGCCCATGTACCTGCGTGCGAATGTGTATACACACACACAGCCACTGGCCTTCTGAGTGTTTAAAGTTTATTGAGGGTGTCCAGGGCTACAGAGGAGTTTCAGGTGCTGGGGAACAAGACCCAGTGTCTGCCTGGAGGAGCAACAGCAAAGCAGAGTGGTCAGCCAACAGAGGGTGGGGTCTGCAGAGAGGATGGAGAAGTAAGGGCTCCGCATCCCTAACCGCCTCCAGGCCCAAGGGATGTCCAGCTTGGGAAGGGGGCCGCTGGGCTGGATTTACTTGAAAGTGTGGCTCTCAGCTCCTCCACGCCCAAAACCTGCAAAGGAAAGGGTTAGTTGGGAGTCGGCTGGTGGGGTGGGGGGAGGTCAGGAGCTGGGTCAGATCAGGGGGAGCATACCTTTGGGCCCGAACATGGCTGCATAGCAGGGGTGGTTGCAGTAAGGCTTGCCCTCGTGCTGCAGAGAGAAGGGTGGTGAGAGGCTGGGACCACATGTCCCGCACCCCCCAGGTCTGGGTATCAGCTCCCACCTCACCTCAGCGTGACTCCCGGAGGTCAGCGTCTTTCCACATTTCTCACACTTGAGGCAGGGCCGGTGCCAGTCCTTCCCCAGGGACGTCACCCGCTCAGCTGCAGATCAGATCCCACAGGAGAACCTGCTCACCACCTGGTACCCGGCCAGGTCTCCTAGTCCCTCCCAGTCACCTGTCCGAAGCCATTCTCATAGCCTGCCCCTGTGCTCAGCCCCTGCATTTCCTGCCAGTTCCATACTAAACAAGAGGGGCTTCAGGCGGACCCAGCGCTGGGGCGTGGGGGGGCAGGTGGTGGGGAGGTGATGCGGACCCCAGGCTATCGGTTTTCCCCCAGAGATGACTCAAGGGGGAGCTTCCCACTTCCTCCCACCCCTCCTTCCGGTGGGTGGTGGTAACCGGGGCTGGGCGAGGGCGCTGGACCGCTCCCTCCAGCTAGGCCCAGAAGAAGGGCGCCACGACGGGAGCATGCCCTGTTAGGGCCCCGGGCGCTGGCTTCCGCGTCTGTTTCTATTTAGCGCGGGGAGGGGCACTGGAGGCCACGTTCCTTCCTCCCTGCGGGGTCCCGCCCTGGGTGCGCCCCGGGAGGAGGAGGGGAGAAGAAGCTGAGGGATCTGGGGAGCCTGTGAGCCAGAGACTGGGAAACCCAGAGGAAAGATACAAAAACAGCCGTCACTGATGCCAGAGGTTCGAAGCCGACCCCGAGGAGGGCCAGGCAGGGCGAGAGCTCCCAAGCAGTCCGCAGACACTCGACGCCAGCGCGCGACTGTGGGGCGGAGCCCAGGGGGGGTCTCCGCTTGAAGGGCTAAGGTCTCCGCTCCGCCGGCAAGAGCCCACCTGCGCCGCCCCCACCCTGCGCCCGGCTGCCGCCCTCAGCCCCGGGACCCCTCACCGAAGTACACCTCCTTGTTGCACTTGGGGCACTTGGGCATGGCGGCACAGGTCGAAGATGCAGGCAGCTGGAAACGGTGCAGATGAAGGCGGACGGCACAGATGGCTGGGCGCCCGCGGGGTGCGCGGCTTTCAGGGGCCTGTGCCCCCGCCCCCTTGAGACCCCGCCCCTAGCGTCCCACCCCTTGAATCTGGGACTTGGACTTGGTGACATCGGATCCCGGCTGGCCGCCCGCAAAGGTCATCTGGTCCACCCCTTCCAGCAGCCAGGATTCCATGGGGGGGTAGGGGGTGGAAGGTGGGAGAGTAAGGACAGGGACGCAAGGAATCCATGGGGACTCGGGCGTGGCGTGGGGGAGGGGATAGGGCGAGGGCAGGTAGTCCAGGAGTCCGCACAGTCCAGGATGGGGGCGGGGGAGGGACTTCCAGGAGCAGAAAGGCGCTCCTCTGCCCCCAGCAGCTTTTCCCGCCAACACCTGCTCCCCCACCCAACATGCAAACAAATGCAAATTCGCCACAAGACTTGCTCTGGCCACACTTTGACAAGGCCATCCTGCAGCTCGAGGGCACTCTCAAGGGTACCCTCGCCCCCTCCTGCCCCTTCAGCCTATGCGCGCCCACCGCACCCCACCCCGCGGGCTAGCTGACCTCCTGCAGCCCTGTGCATGGAAAGCCCACCCAGACCACAGCGAAAAGTCCCCTGGGGAGATCCCCAAGGGGTGATTCCAGCCAGGGGAGCCCCCCTCGTGACCAAGCAACCTCTAAGACTGTGGGGGCAGGGGACGGCCTCAGAGTTGCCGGGGCGGGGCAGGGTGTTATCTCCGCGGGAAGCTCTGGTGACCATGTTTGTGAGGGCGCGGCCACTAGGCGCCTCCACGGTGCCAGGCCGAGACTGCTCATTCCGCCCAGCCCACCCGCCCCGCGCAGATCCCTCAGAGAACGGGTGGAGGGAGCTGGCTGTGGAGTCACGGGTCCATTCCAGCCTTCCTACCCTCCTCTGGGGAACTAGAAGGTCATC